ACATGGTTTCCAAGATTAAAATAAATTCAGTGCAGCTTGTAGGAATTTCATTAATCCAGTGGTTCTCAGCCAGGAGTGATTTTGCTCCCTAGGGGACATTTGGCAATGTTTGGAAACATTTTTGCTTGTTACAAATTGGGGGAGTTCTACTAGGATGTAGTGACTATAGGTCACGGATGTTGCTGAACAACCTACAGTGCACAGGACAGCCTCCTATTACAAATAATTATCCAGTCCAAAATATCAATAGAGGTTAAGAAGTCCTGCTTAACCTACCTAGGGCAAGATTCATCATTTGTAGTGGTGCTTTTTTTGTCATATAATAGAGACTATAGATTATGGCCAGGAGAGCAAGATGTTTCCAGAGACAGGAAAAGTGGGACAATTTCAGATTTGACGTGTGTGGAAGACCCATCCTGTGCTAGTTTTCCAGGTATCTTCTTTATCTGCAGGGTCATCCCCTGAGGGACACAGAACTATGCTCATTTAAAGAAGCACAACCTAAGAGACTATGAGACGTTTAAATATATGACCATGGTCCCTTGACTGGGTAGGGAGCCAAGATTCACTCCCAGAGCTCTTTCCTTCCAATGGTATTCGGAAGTAGAAGGTAGTACATGCCACATGGCAAGCATATGCCAGAGGAAATGATGTAATAGAAACTGAGATCACTCATACCACTTCCGTGCACCTTTCCTCAGCTTCAGCGTGCTTCTACTCGTAACTGCTTGTACCTGTGACTTTCTTCAGAAGATGTCCTTAGACACTTAGAGCCACTTAGAACACATGCACAGAAAGCCCACAGTGCCTAGGATTGGCCAAGAGAGCAAGGCGCCCCTGAGCATACCTTAGTCAATGACTCGGGGCTCTGAGAGTATAAAAGTCCAGGTCTTGTTCCTCAAGGCAAGACAAAGGCTGAGAAGCAACTTACACTCCAGAGCTCCCCAGCAATCACGCTCTTCCCTATCCTCCTTCCCCCACCCTTTTCTCCTAAGAACACTTCCTTAAGTAACCACTTGCACATATATCCTTTTCTTCAAGTCTGCTTCTGAGAATCTAACACAGAAGAAGAGAGGCCAGAGAGGTTGGGGATGCTTCTCAGAGTAAAAGGACATTTAACTGGATGATAGTGGGAGATAAAGGTAGAGAGAGGCTGTACCCAGGATGAGTCTAACTAAGGAATTTGGGTGTAGCCTCTGATCAATGGAAAACTATTAATAATTTTTTTTTCAGTGAGGGAGAGAGTATTCCACACAAACAGAATCAGATACATTAATAAACCTTAGTTGAAACTAAATGTAATTTATTGGACATTTCCCAAGTACATTACTAAGTAAAGAGGAACTTGCAGGTATAGCAAAATGTAATAAAGGAAAATGAAAAATTCTTAGATGTTGATTACTTTCTATTTTCAAAGAGGCTTCATGCTCTAGAAATACATGAATAGATCAAATGACTTTGAACTGTGATTATAGTCAACCATAAAGAAAGAGGATTATTTCCCTGTGGCCTGGAAACACTTATTTTACAAAACGAAAAATTTATCTTTATAACAAGCTAATTTTCTAACTTAAAACAAGGGAATTACTTGGGATCAGAAAAGTATGGTCAGTTTTTGTTTAATATTAATTATTCCCTACTTGCCTACTATGTGCCAAGCACTAAACAGATAATTTAAAAAGTAAATATTAAAGTGAAATATTTAAATTGTTTTCTGGGGTTTTAAACTCTACATTCTATACATATAACCAGAATGGAGTTAACTACATTACATCATAGTCTGAGGCCTAAAAAGTTATTAACAATAATCAGATAGAAATCCTGCTAAACTTTTTAAGTGTATAAAATATTATGAAAAATATGAGGTTAGAGTTTAGTCTTTTTATGATAGATAATGCAACAATTCAATTTTAATGTAACATTTATTGCCTAGATCAGAGGTACGCAAGATTTTACTATAAAGAGTCAAATAGTAATTATTTTAGATTTAGTAGGCCAGATGGTTTCTGTCATAATTACCCAACCCTGCACTGCAAGTGCAAAAGCAGCCATAGATAATACATAAAATAATGGGTGTAGCAATGTTCCAATAAAACAATTATAGACACTGAAATTTAATTTTCATGTAGTTCACATATGTCACAAAATATTTTTCTTTTGATTTGTTCAACCACTTTAAAATGTGAAAATCATTCTTAGCTCACAAGCAGGCTATATAAGAATAGGTAGTAGGGTGGATGTGGTCCAAGAACCTGGTGTCCCAGGGCTTGAGGGTACAGGTAGTTTATTTGGGAGGTGACCCCAGGAGGCAGGAGTGAAGGAACATTGGAGAGACAGGGAAAGACATGATAGATAGATAGATAGATAGATAGATAGATAGATAGATAGATAGATAGATAGAGAGAGTTTGATTGGAAAAGAGAAAAAGCCAATAAAGGGGGTTTCACTGTGTTGGTCATTAAGGGCAGCTGAGCTCTGTCCCACTGGGGCCCTCTGAGAAACTGGTAGAATATGCCTCAGAAATGCCCTCTGAACCATGGAAGGTTAGAGTCATTATCTACTGACTATAGTCTAGTCTCTTCGATGCAACTTGCCCTACCTGCGGGTCAATAAAGCTTCCTCCTCTTTGGCAAAAGCTCTGAGGCAGAGAAGTCAAAGGTGGTACAAACACTCATGATGGGGTGCTGCTGGCCAGCTTGGGAACTTTCCACCAGAGTAGCATATACCATCACAGGTAGGCTAAGGGAATGCAGCATGGGACTAAAAAGTATTCACTAAGATGTATTAACCCTTAGTTCCATGGTATTCTATTTCTCTGGGAGCCTAAAATCACAAGCATGAGAGGATTAATATTTTAAACACTAGGTTATTCCTAGGTTGTACAGTTAAAAACACAGAAAAAAAAATCATCGTGGGGATCTTATTCATTTGGCTACACAACTGGAAAGAATCGTTGGTCATGAATTGGAAAGAAAACCCTTGAAATAAAAATTCACAACTGTAGGTGTAAGCAGACCAATGAAGAATGTTCCTGAGCAGTTCTGCATGCACGTGAGTCTGCAGGTTTTCAGATGAGGTCAGCAGCAGTGGAGAGGGGATTGTTCCTGAAACAAAAGATGAGTCCCAAAAACACATTCTAGGAAGAAGGGCAATAGATAGTGTCAGTCAGACTTCACTCAGAAGAGGATGAGGGGAGACACCACTGTCAGAATTGAACTGCACAGGACATTCAATGATGAGGGAAAGCGCACTAGAAAAGAGAACTCTCAAATTATATATCTAATAAGGGGTGAATATCCAAAATTTATGAAGAACTCATATAACATAACACCAAAAAATATAAACAGTTCCATTAAAAAATGGGCAGAGAATCTAAATAGACATTTCTTCCAAGAGGACATACAAATGACCAACAGACATGAAAAGACCGTCAGCATCACTAATCATCAGAGAGATGCAAATTAAAATGACTATGACATATCACCTCACATGTCAGAATGACTATCAACAATAAATCAACATATAACAAGTGTTAGGGAGGATATGGAGAGATAGAAACCCTAGTACACTGCTGATAGGAATGCAAACTGGTGCAGCCACTGTGGGGAACAGTGTGGAAGTTACTAAAAAAATTAAAAATAGAACTACCATATGACCCAGCAATTTCACTTCTGGGTATTTATCCCCAAACTGACTCTAATTTGAAAAGATATATGCACCCCTATGTTCATTGCAGAGTTATTTATAATAGCTAGGATATGGAAGCAACCTAAGTGTCCACAAATAGTTGATTGGGTAAAGAAATGTGCTACATGCATATATTAGAATATTACTTGGCCAAAAAGAGAATAAAATCTTGCCATTGGTGACCCATATAAGGATCTAGAGGTTATTAAATGAAATAAGTTGGATGGAGAAAAACAAATACTGCATGATCTCACTTATATATGAAATCTGAAAATAAATAAATAAATAAATAAACAAAACAGAATCAGACCCCTAGATATAGAGAACAAGCTGATGGTTGCCAAAGGGTTTGGTATAGGGGGATGGGAATACATTATTTTAAAGTATACTTTAGAAGAAAAAAAACTCAATGGCAAATGCACGGTAAACAACTGCGGTTTAGTTGGCCCAGAATTTATTTGCCTTTTTGGTAAAACAAGTCTCCAGATACTCTCTTGGGATAATCCAATTACTATTGGACAATGTTTGTTGGGCATTTCTGACTGGACCACACCCCTTGTTATAGTCTCGAGGCCTCTGACTGTGGTCAGTATAGCCATCTCATTTCTCTGGTCAGAGTGATTTGTTCAGGAATAATGTGTGATCTAGTTGGAACTATTGAGAGACAAACTACTTTTTCTAGGTCTTCTTGGGGAGAGTACAGTGCCCTTTCCTCCTCGACTTAAATCTGAGAGGCTAGGGCCAGCACTAGAAGCTGCAAATTGAAAACAACTGGGAACGCAGAGCCAGGAGATGGTGAGAAGCAAAACTCTGAATCCAGCCTTGTTCACCAGGTCAAATTATTGTGCCAAGTGCTTCTCAGACTAATGGGCATATAGATCCCGGGGGGGGGGGGGTTGTCTTGTTAAAATGCAAGTCTTACTCAGCAGATCTAGGATAGAGCCTGAGATGGTGCATTTGTAACAAGCTCCTAGGGGATGTCCATGCTGCGGGTTTGCAGACCATATTCTGGGTAGCAAGGATGTAAAATGCACTGATCCTATGTTCATAATCGACAGAAAACCAGTAGTTCAACCTAAGCAGGGCTGAAATAGCTAATTAAATTGGATGGCTGTTCCTGATGCAGTGCTGAACTTAAAGTATAGAGAACAAAAACCTCATATGCCTAAGCTTTTGCCTCGAGGCACAGATTAAAATCAAAGAATTTTTATAACATGCTTTAAATTTTTTTCCTCTTATAGCACAAGGAATAGTAGGAATAAAACATCCAGAAATCTAACTCAGACTTTGAGTCTGATCAAATCCGAGTTTACTTGCCGAATTACAGTATCAGTTGGATTCACAGCCCCGCAGGATCTTTGATGAGAGGGAAGGCGGTGACCTGGAAAGAGCGCATTCTCAGCAATTTGAATGGAAATATCTGAAACACTTTTGAGAAGTACCCTAAATCCCCAACCCCCTATGAAATGCCTCCCACTGGGCCTCCTGTGTCTGAAGAACAATTCTTCTACCCTTGCTTAGAGAAACTGTTACTTCCTGCCCTGAGTGAGGGCAGTGGCAGAACAAGTTACTATTTAGTACCCCACGAGTCAGTGTCACTCAATTACCATGATCAGATTCCAGCATGCACTGGGAGGGGCACTGAGTGTGCATTCAAACTCAGGAAGCGAAGACTTATACAATGGAGGACCATTTGAATTGTGTTAAATTATAAGAGCAAAAATCAGGGAGGTATTTGTGGGAAAAGATCTTCAAGATTTTGAACCCAAAGGGAAAAAATATAAAAGAAGAATAGAAAAAGAATTTAAATGACAATAAAAAAAACATATATTTCAGCATGGAAATGCTGGGGCATAACTACCAGAGAAGATATTCTTGAGTGGTTGGATAGTTGCCGCTATGAATGAAACAGCTATAAGTGCACAAATACTGATGGATGCAGATGTGCTATGTTAATAATCCATGCCTGTGTTAGTATTCGCTTCCTATTGTTGCTATAACAAATTATCACAAACTTAGTGGTTTTTTAAAACAACACATATATTCTCTTACAATTTTAGAAGTCAGAGTCTGAAATCAGTCTCACTGGGCTAAGATCAAGGTGTCAGCAAAGCTGAATTACTTTCTAGAGGCTCTAGAAAAGAATTAATTTCCTTGTCTTTTCCAGCTTCCAGAGGTTGCCACATTCCTCAGCTCATGTTTCTCTTCGTCTTCAAAGCTGACAATCGAATCGCTTGAACCTCTGCATCTGTCATCACATCTTTTTTTTTAACTTTCCTGCATCTCTCTTTCCCTTACTAAGACCCTTGTGATTAAATTGGGCCCACCATGTAATCCAGGGTAACCACTCCATCTCAAAATCTAATCATATCTGCAAAGTTCCTTTTGCCATAGAAGGGAATGTATTGACAGGGATGAGGAGTATGATCAACTGTTGGGTTTTCCAGTCTTACACAGTACCTCCAGGCTAGAATAACCATTTCTCAGAGCCTTTTTCATCTTCCTTATACCACCTGCTGTGGCAATTCTGTCATTTTTACTTGACTTGGTGCAGGCCATTGTTTTCTCCAAGCTTCCAAGAGCCATCATAAATGTGTGTTGGTACGGTCTCCTCCCATACTTGCTAGAGTATCAAATCCTGCATCACAGGAGGGTGCTCCCAATTCAATACACTCTCTTTGACCCAATCTTTTGCTCCCTCCCACTTCATCCAGCACCCTCAAGATCCACTACCAGAGTTCTCTTTTGGACCCTAATGGTATATGTTGGCCAGATCCTGTAGGAAATTTGGGATAAAATCCCTTTTCTCCCCCAGAGGGCCAGCACTTCTCTGACAGTTATGTTGTGATAGGACCCCAGTTTATCTCCTACTTGGCTGCCACCTTTGAAAGTTTTAACAATCCCAGGGTTTCAGTATACCAGAGATTGTCTGTGCTTCACCTTCCCCCAGTGATGAGGTCCTGATTGCCAGCTAACTGGGGGTGATCCATTTCCCAAATCCCATTTTTATGGTGAGCTTCCTCAGATCACTCCTGGTGCCCAATCGCTTAGGTGTAGGAATGGTCTTGAGAACACCTTTAAGGATGTGAGAAAAGCAGATTTGGGCACAAAGAGGAAATTAATTGCAATACATTCACAACAATGGCCCTAGCTGAGCCCATGTGGAGAGTTCTGAAGCTGAGCTGGCCCCTTAAATTGTCCTGACTTGAGGCAACGAGTTAGGGCCTTTCTACCCCAGCATCAGCTAGTCAATGGCTGTGGCTATACCCTGGAAAGGGGTATAGCCCTTGCCAGGTTGCTCTCTTTGGTCAAGGGCAATTCCCAAAGAGGGACTCCACTAGGAGTTGTAGCCATCAGCACCCAGCAGGAGAGAGAAAGGGTGCTTCAGTTCTTAAGGGAAACCTAAGTGAAATACAGTAGCACCTACTACAAGGGCAGTGGTAAAAAGGTTTTTAAAGGCTTGCCTAGCAGAATTGATATGCTGAGAGGTCTTTTCCTGACCCCCAGGTCAGGGCTGTGGTATCTTGGACCTATTATCTAAAAGTGGTGGGGCCTGGTCCTTCTCCTTATCATCAATTGCCAAGAATGAAACCTGACAGATCAGAGAACATCCCCAAATGGAAATAAACTATTTTAAAGTCCTATTTGTGCTAATACCTGTTTCACCTAGTCTCTCTTTGGCCTTCATGGCAAGGGAAGAGAGCTGAGGAAAACTGTACTTCAAACAACCATTCCCATGTCCCTGATAAGAAAATGATGAGAGGGAGCCTCATAATTAGTAGACAGGAAGTAGATTGTCCAAGAAGTGGCAACATAATACCTTATTGGGCTTCTATCGATATTGAGAATTTTATTACCACCTGTGAACACCATGGGGGTCAACCTTGCCTTGTCTGCTACCTCCCTAGTGCCAAGCTCTCCAGGTTTGCAACAGGAGAAGAATTTGTCTAGAATTCAATGATAATACATTCTGTAGGACATGGATTTAGAACCTAATGAGTTGAATGCTGTAAAATGTCAGCATGTAAAAGTATTCCAGTGAGAAAAAGGCAACAAAAGCAAAATGGGGATTAGGACTGTGAAGAAAGGTAACATTCATGTGGCCTCAATCACTACATGATGAATTTCTTGGGAGAACATGCCTCACCTACACTGAGGGATTCATTTTAGGGAGTCAGAGAAGTTGATACAAGGAAGTGAGAAGGAGGAAAGCCCCCATTTTCCTCAGTGTTTAAAGTATTTTTTTCATCAGTGCCTTTTAGGACTCATTCAGTTCTTGATGTCTTTATGAAGTCATTTAAAACATATGATGCACACCTATGTTGACAGCAGCACTATTCACAATAGCTAAAATATGGAATCAACCCAAGTATCCATAGAAGGATGAATGGATAAGCAAAATGAGCTCTATACATACAATGAAATATTATTCAGCCTTAAAAAGGAGGGAAATTATGCATATGTGACAACATGGATGAACCTTGAAGACATTACACCAAGTGAAAGAAGCCAGTCACAAAAGAACAAATATATGATTCCATTTGCATGAGGTACTTTGAATAGTCAAAATCATAGAGACAGAAAGTAGGATGGTGGTTGCAGGGGCTGTAAAAAGGGAGAATGAGCAGTTATTGTTTAATGGGGACAGAGTTTCAGTTCTACAAGATGAAGAGTTAAAGGGATCGATGGTGGTGATGGTTGCAAAACAATGTGAATGTATTAAATACCATTAAACTGCCCATTTAAAAGTGGTTAAGATGCTAAATTTTATGATAAGTATATTTTACTACAATTTAAAAATAATTTAAAGAGTATATGAAACAAAGAGAAAAAAAGAAAAAGCAAAGACACTTAAATATATACATTAAAATATTTTAAGCTAATTTGTTTATTTAAAATTTTTTATAAAACCACCCAGTATAATTACATAAAGAAAAAAAAATAAATTCAACTTCAACTGAGGAAACCAAGAATAAGGAAAAAACCAAAAGATGAAACAAAAATAGTAATAATCAAAAACCCAATTTAGAGAGAAATGAAAAATTAATATAACATTAAAAAACTAAGATCCAGCCTGGCTGGTGTGGCTCAGTGGTTGAGCGTAGGCCCATGCACCAAGAGGTTGCTGGTTTGATTCCCACCCAGTCAGGACACATGCCCAGGTTGTGGGCCCGATCCCCAGTGAAGGGCATGCAGGAGGCGGCCAATCGATGTTCTCTCTCATCAGTGTTTCTATCTCTCTCTCCCTCTCTCCATCTCTCTCTAAAAATCAATAAAGAAAAAACAACAACTAAAATCCAGTGAGAAAAGAAGTAAAAACAGAAGTTCAGAGAGGTATGGTTAAAATGAAACTTAAACTTTTGTTGGTTAAACGGTGAGGTTAAGAATTAGAAGAAAGAGAAAAAATCTGGCTAGACTTTGTCAGAGTTGAAGCCATGGGGCTGAAGCTGCTGCACTTGGCTGAAGCAGTGGGAACATGGCTCACATGGACTGAGATCTCAGGAAGCCTATATGGGGTCTGAGCAGAAAAACAGACACTGTGCCAGGCATTTTAAGAAAAAGGATTTAATATAGAGAATTGAGTGAACTGTTGTCAGATAAAGGACAAAAAGAAGAAACGGAAACAGCAACATACCCCTAGGTAAGAGGTTAGGGTTATTGGAATGTAAAGGCTTGAAAGAAGACCCCATGGAATTGGGACCCAGACCAGGGGTATGGGTGTGGGGACATTGCCCGGCTGGTCCTGGTATCTCTGAGGGGTACAATGGGGTTAGTTCTGGAAATGTGGCAAGTTCTGAAACCAGTTGCCACTGTCAGAGTGAAGAACCACTGCTGCCGTGACATTCACTGATAGGAACATACGTGCACTGGCAGGAACAAGTGCCTTCTCCTTCCTTCCATTTTTGAAGTCTTCTTCTAGTGCCCTCTGCTGGCAGAGCCAAACAGGGTATCAGCTGGCAAAGGTTTGCAAAGTCCCATCCCCAGCACTACAATGCACAGTGCTGTCTGGTCTGGTTGTCACTAGCTACGGTGTCTATTTAAGCTTTGATTTCAATACATGGAAATCAAATACAATTAAAAATTCAGTCCCTCAGTTGTACATGTGGCTAGTGGCTACCATGCTGAATAGTACAGGTGTAAGGAATGATGAGGCCCTAAATCACATAAGGAACATGAATCATCTTGCCAAGTTTCACCTTCTTTGTTTGTGTCTACAGGCCCAGAGCAACCATCTCTACCCCAGCAAAGGCAATCTTTTTTCAAACAAATAACAGTATTATGCCATTTAAAAAGGCATACATTTAGACTCAGGTACTGTGCAAAGCTAAGTACTTTTTGATCCCATCTTACAGATGTAGAACATGGAATTTAAAGTGAGTAAGAAACGTGTCAAAGTCACACAGTTGACTGCAGAGCCCTTGACTTAATCTCTGGAATATACTGTCTCTGACTATCAAAAGGAGCTGATATTTCACAAGGAGGAGATTTTATTTGCTGGCCATTGTTCAGTAGAACATTACTTTCTCAGAAAGAATAAACTGGACAAAGAAAACCAACAATTAATAACAGCACTTAATAACATAAGGAATTATGACAATAAAAGTCATTTTAGTTCAATAAAATTCATACCCAGCAGACGTGCAACTACCCAACAGGGAAAAATAAAGGTTCTTTCTGGTTCTATGATGCATCATCATACTCCATCAGATTCAATGTTTAGAAGTACCTTGGCATGAGTACTTCACCTTTTGGTTTATGCCATGTGCAATATGACTGCTTAATTTATATGTAGAGACTAGAGCTCCTTGTGCCCTCATTTTCTTTAGCATTAACACTGCAGTTACCCAAGTTATGCTAATCAGAGGCAATATGGTTGACACATGGTTGCATCAATCATTCACTTTGTGATATTGGAATAGTTATAAAACTCCTCTAAGCCTTGGTTTCCTTACCTTATAGGGATATTGTGATGATTAAATTAGATCGTGGAAATATGTAAATAGTCTAGAACATTCTTCGGCATGTATAATTGTACTATTATTAACATATTTTAGGGGGCCCTCTAATAGTAGGCAAAAGAGACAGAAACAAGTATTTCTTGTCTGTTAAGCATGTATACATTCATTTGTTGGATGCCTACTATGTGGCAGGCACTATTCTAGGTTCTTGGTATATATCAGTAAACACACCAGACAAAAACCTGTGCCATGATGGAGCTAACATGATATCTATTTAACACCTGTTCTATGAAAGACATTAACCCATTTGTCACAAATATAAATGGGAATCTTCCCCGCCTTAAAGACGTATCTACTCCATTATCTTAAAAGCCTGTGAAACACCCTCTGAAAGGAATGACATTTATTAACATACAAAGTATTCTTGGCAATAGGAATTAAATGTGTGTTAGGAAAAATGCTAATTTAGATATGAGAGAATCCAGATTCTAGCCCTATCTAAGCTTCTTCTTGTGTCATCCATTATACCCTCTGAGCTTCAGTTTTCTCACCTGTGAAAATGGGAGTTGAGTCTCAAAGGTATTTTCAGCAATAAAGTTATATTTTGTGTTTGTCTACATTAATCATACTAGCAAGAGAGGCCATGTTTATGGAAACTAAAAATTATTCTTTTTTCAGAGTTAATATCATAACCACAGGTACTACTATCACATATAACTTAAATTGAAATGCTACCTTATAGGGGATTACTTAGATTTTTCTACTGAAGATAGCAAAAGCAGCTATTTGGATTATCTCAGAAGCACAGTCTGAGACAGGAGGTAATCTCAGCAAAGTGATGGAATTTGTTTGAGAGGGAAATTCCCAGAAGTTGTAGGATGAGAAAGGGACAGTGACACAGGGGAGAAAACCAATGTCAGGATGCATTAATGAAGTTGATATTATCGTAGTAATTAAGACTCAGTCCCATCAGGACTTCTGAGAAAAGACAAAATACCTGCCAGAATCATCCATCCAAAAGAAAGGAGTCTGGTGCATTTTTTCCACTGGGTCTCATCCTTGACTGATTGAGGATTGTCCTGGGGTTGTCAACAGCCTCACTTCTAAGCCCAGCAGACTTCCACAGCTTCAGCTTTGAGAAAGGCGTAACACAAAAAGCAAGGTATGAGTTTAAGGTGTGACACTGTTATGGGTTGAATTGTGTCCCCCAGATTTCATACATTGTAATCCTAATCCCCAGAACCTTAAAATGTGACCTTATTTGACTATAGAATCTTTATAAAGGTAAATTCATTAAAATTAGATCATCAGGGCAGGCCCAAATACAATACAACTGGTATCCTCATCAAAAGGGGGAAATTTAGACACACATATAAGCACACAAGGAGATTATCACGTGAAGATGGTGCTATGCTGCCACAGGCCAATAAATTGCCAGAAACTAGGGGGGAAAAGCTTAGAAGAGACCCTTCCCTAGCCCTTCAGAGAGAGCTTGGCCTGCCAACAACTTGATCTCAAATTTCTAGCCTCCAGAATTGTGACACCATAAATTTCTGTAATGTAAGCCACTCAGTTCATGGTACTTGTTACTGCAGCCTAGCAGATTGATACACTGTTGTGATGAATTTGAGCATGCAAGGAATTGTGCAACATAGCCATGGCTGAAATTAGATGCATGCAAGTGAGGTGACCTGGGCACTAATGACAACTTCTAAAGAGTCCATAGAAGGTGGACATGTTGCAGCTGAGAGATTATCCTGTTGTTTCTCAACAACCTCTAAAGAAAGGGCAAGAAAGCTAAAACCTGCAATAGCTAAAACTACAACCTAGACTGTCAAAAAGTGTGTTCTATGTGTTCATTATATTTGAAGCAACAATAAATCCTCTAATTATCCTCTCAATTGTTAATATCTTTTCTTCCTAACACAGCCATTGAAATTCCATGTCCTCTTTTATACGAACCAATCACATTTGTCAATGCATAACCTGATTTCCAGAGCAGTCTCTATTACACCTAGGGTAAGAATGACAAAAACAAAAAATGGATGACAACTGTATTATACCTAAAAGTCTTACATTTATATTTATAATATTTTATATGGGAAAAGGTTTAAAAATTGTTATAAATTCACTAAATATGTGTCATAGAACTGCCAAGGAAATTGGGAGCATGAGTTTTTCCCTGAAATTTTAAATTCTTTAACTGGGTCAGGAATATCTTGCTAAAAAAGCACTGTTCTCAGACACTGTCATTTTGTACTTTCGTTCCAAAAGCATCAATCTCAAAAGAAATATGTGCACAAATTAACAAGAGGACTTTTTCAAGACATTGAATATGTTTGATCTGAAGAAAAAGCAAAGCTGTCCAGGTAAGCCAGTTACTTTATCTTGCCCTACTTTGGTTAGTACCTAACTCTCCCTCCCCACCTGGCTGACCTGTCCCTCCATGAAGCTAAGCAATTTTCTGAGATGAACGTGTGTGTGCGCGCCCACACACGCGTGCATGTATCTCTGTTGGCTAACAGAAATCAGGGAATTAGAGGCTGGGTTTCAACATCAGCGCATCATGTAAAAAAATTAAACATATGGCTATATTATAAAAACAGTTGTTGGATAGGGAATTTAAAGTGCAGACTTTCTAACATGCGTTCTCATTACTTCTTTTTTTCAGCCTTATTGAGATATAATTAATATATCAAATTGTGTAAGTTAAAGGTGTACAATGTGATGATTTGATACAAATGTATATTGCAAAATGTTTACCACAATGAGGTAGCTTAACACATCCTTTACCTCACATAATTAACATTTTGTGTCATTGTTTTAGGGAGAACATTAAAGCTCTACTCTCTTAGCAACTTTCAAGTATACAACACAGTATGGTTAAATATAGTCACCATGCAGTACTTTACACCCCCAGAACTTACTCATCTTGTAACTGAAAGTTTGAGCTTTGACCAACATCTCCCAACTTCCTCCACATCTCAGTGCTTGACAACCACCATTTCACTCTGTTTCCATTAAGTTCAATGTTTTTAGATTCTCTATATAAGTGAGATGATACAGTATTTTTGTCTGACTTATTTCGCTTAGAATAATGCCCTAAGTCTATCCATGATGTCAAAAATGGCAGGTTTTTCTTCTTTTTAATGACTGAATAATATTGCATAGTATATATGCATACCACATTTTCTTTATCTATTCATGTATCGATTGGCACTAAGGTTGTTTTGAAAGTGAGGTACTAAATCCCCTATTACTATGATTGTATTGTTGTCTATTATTCCCTTCAGATCTGTTATTATTTGCTTAATATATTTAGGTGCTCCAGTATTGGGTGGGTATATATTTACAATTGTTATATCCTGTTGATAAACTGATCCCTTTATCATTATATAATGACCTTCTTTGTTACTTATTATAGCATTTGACTTCAAGTCTATTTTGTCTAATATAAGTATAACTACCACTGCTCTCTTTTAATTTCTGTGCTTTTTGATTAAAGTCCACATACTTTTAAAGTCATTATTGATAGGTAAGGAATTACTATTGCCATATTGTTAATTGTTTTTTGGCTGTTTGGTAGTTCCTTTCTTCCTTTCTTCCTCTCTTACTATCTTCCTTTGTGACTGATAATTTTCCCTAGTGGTATACTTTGATTTACTTCCCTTAATCTTATGTGTATCTACTACAGAATTTTGCCCCGAGGCTTACTTGAAATTACTTATAGATATAGCAGTCTATTTTAAACTAAAAATAACTGCCCTGGCCGGTTTGGCTCAGCGGTTAGAGCGTCGGCCTGCGGTCTGGAGAGACCCGGGTTCGGTTCCCACTAAGGGCATGTACTTCGGTTGCAGTTTGTCCCCGGCCCTGGTTGGTCGTGCGGGTGGCAGCCACTCGATGTGTCCCTTCACGTCGATGTTTCTCACTCTCTCTTTTCCTCTCTCTCCCTCCCACTCTATGTGTACAAAAAATGGAAAAATATCCTTGGGTGAGGATATAAATAAATAAATAAACTAAAAATAACTTTGAATACAAAATTTCTATCATCTTACTCCTACTCCAGTATTTTATGTTTTGATGTCATAATTTACATATTTTTGTATTGTGTATCCATTAACAAATTATTGTAGCTATAGCTATTTTTAATATTTTTGTCCTTTAACCTTTCTACTAGAGTTAAGTGGTTAACACCCCATCATATTATAGTATTAGAGTATTTGAATTTGACTATAATCATATATTTACCAGTGTACTGTATATTTTAATGTGTACTCATATTAATAGTTAGTGTACTTTACTTTCAGCTAGAAGAAGGCTTTTAAGCATTTCTTCTGAGGCAGGTCTAGTGAAGATGAGCTCTCTCAGCTTTTGTTTATTAGGGAAAGTCTTTATCTTACTTCATTTCTGAATGACAACTTTGCTGGGTAAAATATTCTTGGCTGGCAGTTGTTTTTTCTTTCAGCACTTCGAAGATATCATCCCATTCTCTCCTGGCCTGCAAGGTTTCTGCTGAGCAATCTTGTGATAGATAGCTTTATGGGTGTTCCCTTATTTGAAAGAATTTTTCTCTTACTGCTATAAAATTTTTCTCTTTGTTTTTGCTTTTAGACAGTTTTATTATAGAGTATGTTGGAGAAGACTGTTTTGGACTGAAATCTTGGGGTGCATATTACATTCATGTCCTTGAATTTCCAAGTTTCTCCTCAGGTTTCAGAAGTTCTCAGCCATTATTTCTTTAAATAACTTTCTACCCCTTTCTCCCTCTCTTTTACTTCAGGGCCTCCAATGACACATACATTATTTCTCTTAATGGTGTTGCTAAGGACCATAAGCTTTCTTCATTTCTTTCATTCTTTTTTCTTTTTGTTCTTTTGGTTAGATAATTTCAAATGATCTATCTTTGAGCTGACTGATGTTTTCTTTTGTTTGGTCCTGTCCACTGCTGAAGCTCTCTATTGAATTTCAGTTCAGTCATTGTTTCTATCAGCTCCAAAATTTGTTTGGTTTTTTTGTTTGCTTTTTGTTAAGCTTGTAATTTTGTTCCTGCACTGTTTTCTTGATTTCATTAAATTGTTTATCAGTGTTGTCTAGTAGTTCTCTAAGCATCCTTAAAATAATTATTTTGAATTTTTTTCTCAGGCGATTTTTTTGTCTCCACTTCTTTCAGGTCAGTTACTGGAAGTTTACTGTGTTCCTTTGGTGCAGGCATGTTTCCCTGATTCTTTGTAATCCCTACTACCTTCCATAGGTATCTGTATATTTGAAGAAGCAATCAGTCACCTCTTCCAGATTTTATTATCTAATTTTAGTAAGGAAAGATCTCCACCTATGTGTGGGGGCATGATGGAGTATACTGTGACCCTGAGTGTAGTTGTGCAAAGTACCAAGTGGAGGGTTGTGTGGCAATTCTGGGTCTGGGGGCTATGGTGATTCATTGGCTCAGGCTACTGAGGTCCACAGCATTGACAACTGTATGGCCCTTGGTAAGTACTGTGGATGGTCCATAGAAATTAAAAGGGCTGTTGGGATCCTCTAGGACACTGTTAAAATGTGTTGTGTGTGTAAGCATATGACCGATATGCTTCAGTTTACATGGTGCCAGGCAATGGTCCAGGTTGAAGAGTCAAGAGTCAGAACAAGGCAGTAGAAGTGGGGAGGAAGAGAATATTTTGTACTTTTAAAGTGTTTTAGAGGCATAATCAACAGTTTTTTGACTCACAGATCCTGGGGATGAAGACTAAGGAAGAGGAAAATGAAAGATAGAAGACGATGCACAAGACTTTTGGTTGGGTAACTGACTGTTGTTGTTGTTAATAAACTAAAGAATACCAGAGGATAAAGGATGAAAGGAAAGCGAATGAAAGGGAAGTTACTGTGTTGAAAATGCCTTTGAGATATGCAGTTGAAATCATTGACTTGGATCCAAAGAGAAATGTGGGGCTACATGTACTTAGAAGTCATTTGTGAATATGGAAGGCAGTAAAACTTGCCACCATAATAAATGTTTTTTTTAAATTATATTATTTAATGTCTATGAGAACTCTGAGCTATACATTATATTTTTATAATGAGGACACTGAGATTCTGAAAGACCAAATAACTTCACAAAAGCCACATAGCTAATAAGTG